TAGTGTGGACTCCTAACTTTTTATATATATGATGAAAGAGAAAAAAATAAGTGTGTCATATTTAGGTCACCTTATGAGAAAGGTGGTTTCCTTTAAGGAGAGAGGTTGGCCTCTTCTGCATTAGAGGAAAGGCCTCCCCTTAGAGAGAAGAGAGCTTCCTATGAAGAGAAACACTTTGGATATGCCTTATATAGATTGAGAGAATGATTTCTTGTAGAAAAGTAGTTCTAATGAAGATTTATTTCCCTTTTTAGTGAGAGAAAATTTGGGTTGCTCTCAAGGGGACAACGGTTTAACTATGAAATAGAGATGAGAGATGAGTCTCTTTCTAGATTGCGGTTTAGTTGTTGAATAAAGATAATAGATCGGCTTGATCAAGAGAGTGGTTTAAAAGGGTTTGCTCGACTGAGTTTTGTCAAGAGTTAGAAAAGTAACTCTATGTCTCAAAAATTATATTGTAACTTTCATTAGTATAATGGATTTCAGTTAGTCGTACCCATGGATATAGCCCTTTTGGGGTGAACCACATAAATCTTTGTGTCTGGAGTATGTTTCATGCTTTATTTATCATATTATGGTTCGTGCTCTCTCTTATTTTGTTTCGAGCTGGAGAAGTACACGATCTTAGTGGGATCTAACTTTTAGGATTCTTATTTCAGCATCTAAGAGAGTTCTTAAATCCTAACAAGTGGCTTCAGAGCGCATGTTTCAGTACAAAGATAGTGTTTGTGCATTTGATTGAAGAAAAGCACATGATAAAGTACAAGTGTTTTATTTGAGGTGGAGAAATATGATGGCAAATACTATTTTTCAGTAAGAAAGATGAAGGAATTTATTTGGCAAAAGATGATGAATTCCTAAAGTTATCTCTATTGGATGTTGGCATGGTGAGCAGGCGATTTTGATATCAAGGTGGAGATTGTTGGATATGGTGATATCCAAAAATCACCGATATGAGTAAATCACACATTATGTGGGATTGAAATTCATATTGATAAGTTTCATAAAGGAAATAGAAATATCTCTTGGTTCTTGAAATATATGTAACACCCATAGGAAGTTTTCTATTTAGTGTGGACTCTTAACCTTAAATATACGAGATTAAAGAGAAAATAATAGGTGTGTCATGTTTTGGTCACCACAAGGGAAATGTGACTTCCTCTAAGGAGAGAGGTTCTTCTTCTATATTAGAGGCAAGGCCTCCCCTCAGAGAGAAGAGATCTTCATATAGAGAGAAACATCATGGATGTGCCTCCTGTAGATCGAGAGGCTGGTTTCTTGTAAAGAAGCGATTCCCATGAAGATTTTGGATAGTTTCCCCTAAGGGTCTCTTCCTAGATAACGGTTTAGATGTGGAATAGAGATGTGTATCTTCTTGGATAGTGGTTTAGTTGATGGGATAGCGACAGGTCATGCCGATTAAGAGAGCAGATCTAAAAGGGTTTGCTCAACTGGGTTTTGTTGAGGGTTAGAGACGTAACTCTATCTCCCAAAATCTATAATGTAATTTTTACTGGTATAGTGGATTTTAGTTTGCTATGCCCGTAGATGTAGCCGCCTTGAGGTAAACCACCTAAATCTTTGTATTCTCGTGGAGTGTGTGTTTCATGCTTTATTTTTCATATTATGGCTCGTGCTCTCTCTTATCTTGGTTCTAGCTAGATAAATACAGGATCTTGGTAGGATCCAATTTTTGGGATTCATGTTTCCGCATCTATTAGGTTTAAATCCTAACACATAAGACCTAAACTAACTTATTCTTTTACTTCTTCAGGTCCAGTTACATACTTACAGAAGAAATCCTAAAACTAACTTGCTAGTTAAAAAAGTTTAATCTATATTAGATCTTACCCTTCCCCTTTTAAAAATTAAATTTTCAATTTAACTCCTCAATTCTCTATAATAAAAAAATAAAAATAAAAAAATAAAGATAAAAATACCCTAAAAGAAAATGAGAAATCCAAAATAAACCCAAAGAAAAATCTAGAAAAAAGTAAAATAAAAACAAAATAGAAACACATCACGTCACCTCCTATTGGTAGACCTTTTTCTTTCTTTCTTTCTTTCTTTTTTTTTCTTTTTTTTTTTTTCTTTTCCTTTTTTTTTTCCTTTTGTTTTTTGGGTAAGTCAGTGGGGGAGAAGGCGCGTTTTTCATTAACAGCTATAAAAGCTAAAGTCAGACCTTCTTCAAGAGCAAAGAATTCCGCATAATTATTGGTAGCCATTGCAAAAGGTTTTGAAAATGTTGTAACAAAAGCACCGTTACAGTCTCTAGTAACACCACCCCAACACCTGCTCGATCTAGGTTAGACAAGGAAGCCCATCAATATTTAGCTTGAAGTGATTAAGTCTAGGAAATGACGACACCATCGGGATAGTAAACTGGCCCCTCTGTTGATGCCAAGTGAACTGCAGATTATCAATGATTGATTTTTTGACACATGAAATGCCTAGGACTTAGCAGCAGCTAACTTCTGAATATGAGAACTAATCTGTTGAAGTAATTGTTCCGTCCTTATTAAACTTGATTGGGAAAGCCTTTGATTGCGTTCTACCTATAAAAACCAAATAGTTGTGAAGAAAAAAGAAGTCCAAATATTGAAGAATCCATGGATTTGAATCTGAAAGATAACCAACTTATCAAGACAATAGGAATAGAAGAGCCATAAAGAAAGTACTTAGTACACCGCCATGCAAAAGATCTTCATATAACATGTGAAAAATCACAGAGGAAAAGTAGATGGCAAGGACTATCGTCACTGTTTTTACAAAAATGGCGTATAGGATGAGCCATGGCTATCCCACGCTGCTGTAGGAGAGAGAGTGGGTAATCGATAGTGAATGGGCCAACCAAGAGAACTATTTCACTCGGGGATGACATTTTGGTGACCACAATTTCTGAAAATTGGCAGCCATTGTCAGACTATTGGTGAAGATAAGCTCCAATGTGTTGAATGAATACAAAGAAATTGCAACAACAAGTGCTCATAAACTTATTAGCGTTTGTGTTGCCAAAACAAACATTAGAAACAATATGGGGAAAACCAATAAATCCCAGGGCCCCTTAGTTTATATAGGCAGCAACGGCTAACCGAGTACAAAAACCGGGTTACTACGAGATTGAACATCATGATCATCTCTTCTATTACATGTGCTTTTGTGAGTGAGGTGCTTTTGTGAGTGAGATTTGGAAAGTAATCATGTGGCAATTCAACAATCCATAGTTGGCTTGAAGATCAAGAGTTCTAAAGCTCCATAAGAAGTTTAATAATAAATTCCTAGACCAGTTTCATAATCAAAAGGCCCAACAATTCGGTTCCAAATGAAGTTATTTCATTTCCCACTCTAATTTTGGGTCATATCACAATAAACTAAACTAAATGGCAAGTAAAAGATGACTATCATCACATCATCCATGGGACATTAAAGGAGATAATACGAAAATTTCAAAATAGCATCCCAAAAGCAAAGAAAATCCCCAAGGAATGCAAAAGAAAAAACCATATGAAAGATGGGGGGATACAAATTCCAAACAGGTCTCATGTGAGAGAGGAAACATGTGGTATGGTCATTATATACATTACTTTCCTAAATATAGCAAATTCTACAATTAAACTAATACAACCGGTGCATTTCACCCAAGAAACCCCACTAGTGCAGCCAAAGAAAACCCAAGCACAAAACCATAATGAAATTAAAAACAATAAAAATAGATTAGGTAAACAACTGTAATTTTGTTTCAACATATGATAATGGATCTACGAAAATGGAAAAGGGAAACGTTTCTATACTTCCCCTATAGCATAGAAGATCTATGCTTCCCTTACTATCCAGCCGTCTAATTTTGATCAAGAGAGTCACTCACCGTTTGATTTTAAATCCGACGTCTCAAATTTTTTTTTTTTTTATACATATTATATGAATATGAAAGTTGGTACATGTCATCTTGTCATTGGGTCGCACCTATAAAAATATTAAAAATAATTTTTCGATAAAATATAATGACCAAAATATCCCTTGAATCTTTTAAGGGTATTTTGATCATTTTATTTTATTGGAAATATTTTTTTATATTTTTCACAAGAGTGAATTTAATTGAGGATTAGAGTTCAAAATTTGGTGTCAAAATAGTTTATAGAAAAAAAAAAAATAGTGTAGAGACATGACATTGTGATTAGGGAAATCTTAGCCCTCCATTCAGAATGGACGGTTGGATAAGGGGAAGTATATAAGTTTTATGTTGTAGGGGAAGCATACAAAGCTTGCCCAATAGAAAAATAGGAAACCACATGCTTATGAAAATCCAAATAATAACATTTTTTAAAAATTAAAAAAGGATCCAGTTTCTATAAGGCCTAGGTTTTAATGAAAACACAATAACGCATCATCTCGAATCTTTGTCGGGGAAGCATTTTGTGTATTGGAAATCTCCATAATGGCTCTGAAATAATTTTTCAACGACTACTATGAAATTCAAAGCTAAAAAGTAGTATAGATCTTATGGATCTACGAACACTTATTTTTTTCTGTGAAATGGATGGTCTAGATAATGTGTTACAATATACATAATTTTTAATGTTTGAAAGATTGATTAATTTGAAAGTTTTTAGACGCAATTTTTGGTGAATTTTGAAGTGAAGTTTTACTTGTATTTTCTAGGGTTGTATACCTATTCACGTATTTTTCATTAAAAAAGAAAAAAAATGAATTCTTTTCCATACTCTTGCACGTGCAAACCATATTTTGAAAGCGAAAACCCCACTTTTAAAATCCTAAAGAACCCGATGCTTTCCTCCCTTCTCACGCCACTCATTTCCGTGAGTCCAAATTCTCTTTCCTAAGCTTACTAAAAAAAAAAAATACATACATTTTTTACAAAAATGCCATGTCATGTTAAAATGCCTAACCAATCAAACATTGCCACGTTCACATCTGCCATCCCATTGGTCAACCAATATGCCATCTTTTCTTAGGCCTAACGGGGGACAGAAGAAAAAAAATCCCTCTTTTATTTGAAGTTTTTGACATAAAAAATCCTGAAAGAGAAATTAAATCTCTCTCTAGTGGCCATCCTTCAGACTTTAACATAAAAAATCCTCAGGGAGAGATTAAATCTCTGTAATCGCCATCCTTCAAAGCATCAAAGGGCTGTTCTCTCTCATCCCCAACCTCTTGAAAACCATCCTGTTGGATCCAATCTTTGATATCCCCTCTTCATCTTCTCTCTCATCATGGGAAACGCTCTCAGATTTCTGTGTGGGAATTGTTGCAAACCCGAAGAAGAGCCCGAGCCCCCCATCACTCAGGTCTTCATGCTCTTGCCCGTGATATCTCCCACTTTGATGCCACAACCCAGGTTCCTTTTCTTCTTCTTCTTCATCTCCATGTACAAGTTCAATGAATGCTTCTCTATATTCAATTACTAGTTAATGACATCTATGGGATATGAATTCATCCAAATTCACCATCGACAATTGATTATTTTGAGGGTTGGTGTATTTTTTTTGGGTAAGTTGTTTAGGGCGTATTTGAGAAAACTATTTTCCAAGAAAATATATGGTAAACTACAAGTCTAAAAGAAAAGTAGATGTAGAAAACTCTGGCTGGAAGCTGAGTATTCTTATTTAATAACCTCTGAAAACGAAAAAAATCTTGGGCAAAGAGAGATTAAGGGGGAAGAGAGATGGTGAGGTTAGAAAAAAATAAAAAAGGGGGACGAGGGGATCTTTTTTTATGAGAAATCGGTCGCCAGTTTAGTTTCCCCAAGAATCCGAAAAAACGTGGAAATGGAGAGAAATGAAGGGCTCCAAATTTCCATGATTTTCCCCTTTTCTAGACAGGAAAAAGTGTTATTTTCTTAGTTACCATACAGCCTCAACTACTTTCTGGTCATTCACACACTTAATTTACCACCAATTAGTTACGTGAGCTCAATCAAATGGTAATTTGCAATTTTTGAAGGTCCCTGAAGGATTAAGTCAGCACGTTGTCTCCTCGAAGAAGGCACAAGCTAACTGGTAAGCATCTCTCCCCCAATTACCTCTAGTTTCACATAAAATATTTTAGCTATCCCTCCCCTCTCCTTTAATTTTGTGATTACAGTATTTAATCCTCTAAATTTAGATTCTCTTATAGCTGGGAAATGGGAAGTTGTACTAGAGGGTATTTCGGTCATTTTCAGGACCTGGTTTCAATACACGCTGTTTCCGTTGATATTGAAAATGGTGCTTTGGGCGGCCATGCTCTTTAGTGGAAATGACCGAGGAACCCCAACTACTTTAGAGAGACACTATTAGCCTTGATCTTATGAGACTTGGTTGATGATGCTCATTTCCATGTTTTTTTCGTTATTTGGGAAAATGTAAAGTATTGGTTGATAGTTTGTTTGCACGTTTGTGCATCTGATTAAGGAGATTGGGGTGGACTTACCATTTTTGTTAGGGGTAGCAACGAGTCTGGTTTGGCTGGACTCGGACTCAAATAGTATTCAGATCCAGGTTTTGGACTCTGACACACTTTTTAAGTCCAAAATTTGAACTCATACCCGACTTGAGATCGGGTCTACCCATCGAGTCCTCGACGGGATCGAGTCCATAGCCACCTTATGACTATCAACTTTTTCCTTTTTTTTTTTTGCCCTTTTTTTCACCATCATATACCCATATTACGTATTAGTGGCATCATTTACAATATTCCACAACATTTATAAATACCCACATTCCTTACTGTTTTATGTAATAACTGGAAATTTCTAAGAAACAAACGTATTGGCAACATTTATGAATACCCACATATACCATGATTATCCGGGTCGGGTCTGACTAGACCCGGACCCAAATAATATTTGGGTCTATGTTTTGGATCTGGACCCGACATTTCGTATCCAAATTTTAAACCCATACCCAGATTGGAGTTCAGGTCTTCCCGTCAAGGTTTGGTCAGGTCCATTGCCACTCCTAATTCTTGTCAGTACTAATAGGGGTGAAAATCGGCTAGGCCTCCCCCGGTCAGCCCAGTCCTAAAAAATTAAGGCCTAGGCCAAAAAATGTGGCATGAGGGCCAGGCCATGGCTGGACAACTACTGCCCGAGCATAGGGTCAAGCTGCGCTGGGCCATGGCTGGCCTAGTTCGGCCCGCCAGCCATGTTTTTCTTTGTTTGTCGGCCCTATGTGGACTCGGGTCAGGGCTGGCCTAATTGCTAATTTCCCTTTGCATTTGCAATGGTTGAAGGTATAGAAAACTATCAGAAGCATGGAAGGAATCCAGATCACCACCCAATACACCTGGTGATGCGTCACAATTTGTTGTTTCGACATTGAAGAGACATCAGAAAGCAGACGTAGAGGTGGCCCCACTCCCTCCCTCCCTCTCCCTCTCTCTCTCTCTCTCATGTAAAGTATTGCATTTGCAGGGTCTTTTAGCATTCTATGGCCTACCCGTTCCCTCCTCAATAGCCCAAGTTCAACCCACAAAACCCACAGCACCCCCAAGAGAAGTGAAGTTTGAGTTACAAACACTACCAGTGAGAGGCCATAAACCTTTCAATTTCAAATATTTAAAACAACTACAAATTGCAAGCACATTTTTCCCTTTGATCTATGATTTGTAACAACGACTAGCACTAGGTCGACGCCAAATGTGTAGCTGATGGGGACACGATCACCATTTACGTCGACACGGAGGGGTCATCCCAAGTCCCTAAAGCCATTCACACAGCTGTGAACCAAAGGCATGCAGCCCGTGCTAAGAGAAACTACGTGGAAGCCGATGCCGTACAAAAGCAAATAGTCGATGCCGGATATAGGTAATTTCCTCTGTCTTTGTCATGCACTTCAGTTGAATTTTCTCTCAGTTAATTCCTTTAGTTTCGATAAACTCTCAGTTTGAAACCTGAAGTTTTGCTTTCAATCGATGCCATTTGCCCTTAACCAAATCACAATTTCCAATTGTTAACTCTTGTACAGAGTGTTTGGTGGTCCACATGATGAGGAAATACTTGCAAAGAAGTATCGAATTCGACTCTGGTGAGGAATTGGTTTGTTTTGGATCGATTTGATTCATGAGGATAATATTCTAATGGTAAACTGGGAATTTACAGCGGAATTGATGCACCAGAGAGTGCCATGCCATATGGGAAGGAGGCGAAGGAAGAGTTGACCAAGTTGGTGCAAGGGAAAAGCTTGAGAGTGATCGTCTACGACGAAGATCGATATGGTCGATCGGTCGGAGATCTGTACTGCAATGGAATTTTTGTCCAAGTGAATCTCTCTCTCTCTCTCTCTCTCTCTCTCTCATGCACATATGTTAATCCATACCTCATCAATTTGTTTTAGGAGCACATGTTGAAGAAAGGGCTCGCATGGCACTATAAAGCATATGACAAGCGCAACGAGCTTGCTTCAGTAAGCTCCTCTCTCTCTCCTAACCGCTGAAATCCATCCTCTCTCTCTCTCCTAACCGCCGAAATCCATTCTCTCTCTCTCTCTCTCTCTCTCTCAACAACTGAAATCCATATTGATGGGGTCATGACAGTGGGAAAGCGAGGCTCGAGCTGCTCGCAGGGGATTATGGGCATCATCAAACCCTGAGAAACCATGGGATTGGAGAAAAGACAGGCGCAATGAAGCATGATTCATTAAAATAAACATTCTCACAGCTATCAAGCTCACGTTAAAAAATTGTAATCCAATCTAACCTTCCTGTATTATAAAACCAAAATCAATGGAATGGCAAACCAAATAAGTTCTCTCTCCCGCTCTCTCTCAAAGGAGAGCTCCTTTTCAGCTTACCAAAGAAAAGAACAGAGAGCAAACGTAATAATGGCTCCTTTCCAAAGGCCTGGGCATGTGAATAAACCCACTGAACCATTAGCTAATTTTTACAAAAGATGGCAACAATGGAAGAAACAGAGATAATTCCCGAATGGAACATGGCTAACATAGTTTTTTATCAGATACATGAGTAAAACCTCAACATATCCAAAGCCCAAGCCTGCTCTTCTGGGAAACATTCCAATGAGTAGAAACAATCACATGCTGCATATGAAATTTTTTTACAAAAGATGGCAACAATGGAAGAAAAAGAGATAATTCCAGAATGGAACATGGCTAACATAGTTTTTGATCCGATACATGAGTAAAACCTCAGCATATCCAAAGCCCAAGCCTGCTCTTCTGGGAAACATTCCAATGAGTAGAAACAATCACATGCTGCATATGAAAAAGGAATCAATTTAGCTACTTTAGCAGGCAGGCAGGAGCTTAAAAAGATTGCTGTACTAAAGATATCGAGGTAAAGGATTAATATATGAATGCTGCTACTTCTTTCAACATAACAAATTTATAATTATGCACCGAGGAGCCCATTGATCAGAATGGCACCTATGGTATTAAAGGAAACTATAGCTTGAGCTGACCTTAAATTTTCAGGTATCTATAGAATAGGATAGACTAAAACCTACATAGCAGCTTATAGCATTGATGCAGCTATGATGCACCTTAGGTGTCATGGCATGCACACAGTAATGAGATATGATGAAAATTTTGATAGAGAACTTATAATTTGATGTTATTCATAATGCAACTGCAGGAAATAAGAGGTTTTTGTTGGGGGTGGGGGAGGTGGGGTTAAGAAGGCCCCTCTTCTTCTACTTCAAATTCCTTGCAAATGTTTGAGAGGGTACAATGTGATAAAGCACCCCCAAGTGCAAGTTATATATGGGCATGGTAGGGAACAAGAGGAAATTCTGGGATTCTAACTTTTCACACTATGGAAAATGTGGGGTGTTGACGTTAAAATAACTCCTAATATGAAACAATGTTTTGAAAGGAAAAGAAAATATATTATCAATTGGAATAAAAGGAAGATGGCATGAGCTTAATATATACAAATAAAAAAGTGTCGCACAAGGGTGAAGTTAAACCACAAGTTCAAAGGTTTTTTTCTTTTATAGAAAAATGACAAGCATTTCCGGACATTGAAATGTTGCATACACATCAAACATAATAAAATAAAAATATATAAGATGTAGTCTACCGTGCATTAGATCCATGGAACTTAGATATCAAAGTGCACAATTTGTCAAAACAAAGTTATCCCCAGACACACCTAAACCCTACTCTCAGTATAGCATTAGTAAGTATAGGCATCTACATAATATATACACTTAAGAGTGTGCAAAAGCATCCCTTCCAATAGATTGACTATGGCACACCCAACAAAAAATTGGGGCGTACATGCATCTTTATATGGCGAATCCAACAAAAATAAAATGTAATTCAAATAAAAAATAAACGAAATACTCTTGAAACATTTCTGGGTATTCTGGCAAAATTTCTATTTGAATCAATTTTTTTTTATTTGGTGCACCCTTATTAGATGCATGTACGCCCCACTTTTCATGTGAATAAAATTTGTAAGAGAACTTAAAAAATAATATACAATATCAATTTTGGAGCCATCAGATAGGCCTAAGTTCTCAACCATTCAAGGGTGATAGGCCTAAGCATCCACATAATGTGGACGCAAGACCAACAAATTTAGTAAAGTACAATATCATATAGTATGAAAGGTTAACTTTCTCAAAAAAAAAAAATTATATAGAATGAGATCTGGTCACTGGTCATGGTGTTGACAGTTGCAAAAGGACTTTCCAGGTTCGAATCCCACTGCTGACCCCCAAAAGAATAAATAAAAATATAGTATGGAATGCTACAAAATACAGTTATTTATTCATCATATATATGTGTGCCGACAGATATCCACACTGCCATAATTTCCTGTATCCAAGGTGTTTTTCATACAGGATTTTGAGTTGAGGCTTAAAAGCGAAAAACGAAAAAACAGGTTGGAACCACCCAGCATCCCCTATGATATCTACCAAGGATCTACACTTAATTTTGGCAAAGGAAAATTGTTTCATGCGTTGGGGGATGCATTTCTACATTTGTGTCTCCCAAGGTATAAAGCATCCATCTTAAAGATAGATACAAATGGGTGGTCCATCTAAAAAAAGTTGAAACTAACGGTCCAAATGTTTTCTACGTAAAATTATTATTTTTAATTTTTAAAATTTATTCATTTTTTCATATTCATGATCCCCATGTTAGAGATTATATATCCTCAAAAATTGGGTCCAAAAATCCATCTCAAAAATTGATTTTTTAGAGGGGACTCATTTCTACATGAACTCATAGAAACCGCGTCCTTTAGAAAAATAGGTTGTTCATGTCAAACTGGGACCAAATAAATGAATTTTTAAAGCAAGAATATAGAGAAAGATGAAGCGTGTAATGGTGTTTGGAGACAACCTTGTGGGGTGTAGCACAAGGCCATACTATGATACCATCTAATTTTGGTTTAGGGTTCCAACAACAGGGCACCCCACAGAGAACCTGTGGGTTTTTCAGAGCCACCATTTTCACTGCTCTCCCCTTCTGCCTAGAACCCTTCTCTAAAAAACCCTGGAAAATCAAGAAATCAAGTCCAAATAGAAAAAAAATTTAAATCTTTGTACACCTAGAACAATCACAGAAAGAAAATGGGTGTTGCCTTAAATAAGTAAAATAACTAAGAAAGAGATCTTGATCATTTTGTGATGGAGAACCATGAACAATCAGTCTCCTCTTCTGATGAGAGAACCTCTCTGTATTAAGCCTACAAGAAGAACTATCCCCTAAACCCTAGAGAATAGGGAAAGGAGAAGTGGAAGAGATGTTTTGGAGAAACAGAAGTGGAGGAGATGTAAAGATTTTTAGTTGATCAATAAACATACATAACATTGGGAGTTGAGTGATTTCGTTACTGACCATAAAACAAATAAAAGATACAGATTATTTTCAACATTAAGTTTATCGAGGGAATTGCCATGTCTCATTCAAGAAATGTTGTTGTCTCTTGAGAACCAAGTTCCTAGTCTTCATTGTTGAAGAACAGTGCGTTGATACAAAGAGGAAAGCCCACATAGATTGGAATGATATCATCCATAAAGTAAACTCCTTACACATTAAACACTTTGAATGATTTCCAACATCTCTTCCACAATCATACTACCAATCACCATCGCCTCCAACATTTGAACATTCCCAAGTCTCCTTTTATGAGTAGCTCACACTAATTGGTTGTTATTTCTATATAAATTTTTGCCGATAGTGGGAAGCGTTTCCCCCCGAGGAAAATGACTGTACTTGAACATGCCCCAGGGACCACTTCACACAAATTTGTAAATTTCCATATCAATGAGAATTAAATACATACAGACATACACACAACACACACACACACACAAACAGCCACAGCCACGCCCACACCCACACCCACACATGCACCGCACAATCAATGAGACTTAAAGTTAACAATACATGCATATATATACATACATATGCCTATACGCGTGCGCGCACACAGAAACAAACACTATTTGTATCTGCATCCACCTCAAACAACAAATCCATCCCTTGTGAAGCCAACTCACCAATCACTTTTCACACTTCTATTGTGTGGTCGCATGCCAAAACACATTGAATATCTCACGATAATAAAAAATTAGGCAACCTTCCCAAAAGTGTTAAAACCTTTAGAAGGTTAATGATTTGTGATTCAATCTCAACCATATATGCTATATTTATATATTTTCCTCAAGAAACTTCTTCTAACATCTTTCCATGCCTCTTTCAAACAAGATCTTTCTATTTTTTCTCAACTTCTGGACCTATAATCTGCAGCAATAGGAAAGTCCCCCCATCTCTGCCATTCTCATGAGTTATCTTACAGCCACCAAAACATAGTAAATCACCATTAGAAGCCTTCTTATATCATCTTGAAGCTCCTAGCACCCCTCATCAATATTTTAGAACATAGAACACTAAAATCAGCATCTTCACCGCCACATTCCATGTTTACGAGCTATGTCCTAAAGTCATCTTGCAATAATCTCCAACATTGCAATCCCAACTACCTAACCTTTGCCCAACTCACCTTACTCTATTGTATTAAACCTCCTTTGCAAATTACATTCTGATTGGATCAGATGTAGTCCCAAAAGTACAAGTTCACCACATGCTCCTTATTCCTTCCTATCTGCTCACAATGACCTTGATATATTTGGCAAAATGCCACCCAAATGCTATGGATTTTGCCTGGATCACTTAATCACTTAGTATAAGCCCCATTTTGAAAGTTGCACCACCTTTTAAATAAAAAATAAACCCAAGTGCAAATTAACCTCGAGGACAACATACCCATGCAATAGGCTCACGGTCAACTTGACATCAACACTATAGGCACCTCCAAACCCCTTGAGATTTGGGAAAACATTTTACAATGGTATTTCAAACATTTTCACCAATTCCTACATTCTAGGCCATTTGGACACCATTTGGTCCAACATGTCAAGTTCACTGCAAGGCACTATTCATGGCACTGTAGCTTCACAGTGGACCCGACGAAAGCCTTGATTTCCACACCAAATGTCCTGATTTTCAATGGCCAATATTCTGACTCAACTGGAAACCAACATCACATATTTCTAAGCTAGGGACTACATGGTCATTTTGCATTGTTGTAGAGCATGTCATAAAACACCCCCAAATGGTTTTTGCCTAAACAGGTGTGAAACAAAGGGTACCTATTGCATCACAAGAGGTAATGTTCCCTATGGATTCGAAGCTTAGTCATAGGGACATCATGCTGGGAAGCCATTCCCTAAAACCAGGGTTCCTAGAGTGATTCCTAGAAAATTCCTAGCATTTCCTTGCACCCTCTACCATAGATATTTTGCAAGTTTTCTCAATACCCAAATTAGAACCACTAAACATCTTCTTGAGATCTACAAATAAAGGGAACTAGAACTGGAGGAGCCACAAATATGTTTATGTGAATGTCAACACCCGAACCCAAGAGTTTTTTCGGTTGTTTGTATATGTGACGATGGGTCACACTAAGGAGGACTGCCTAAATATCCTTACACAAAAGTCACATGGGAGTTTGGATTTAGTCTTCAATGTGCTTGGAAATTATTCCAAGGACAAGGATATGAAAAAAGGAATATATCTTTCCTAAATGCAAATCAGTAATGGGAATTTTTTTAAAAAAAATAATTAATCTCATCAGTTGGAAGCACAAGATGTATAAGTATGGGGATTCCTTTTAGAAACAATTAATTGCATAAAATTTCCGATTTTTCTACGGAGAATTAAAGACTGCACAAGAGTGAATTCCCACTTGTATGCAACAAAAAACATAACTTGAAGGTTACATTGAATTTTATGAGCTCAATACCTTGATTCAAACTAACATTTTAAGAAGCCATGATGCATGCTGGAATAGTCTGTGTTAGCTTTAATGTCTTGCAATATGATAAATTAAGTGTTGCCATTGCCAAACAGAGGAACAACAAGAAGTCGGAAGCATTACGTCAACTACTAAATAGAGCCACTTCAAACCAAAATCGTTTGACGCACTACCTCAGCTAAAGGAACCACATCTTGAAATAGAAATCCTGCTCTGAACCAATGTTCCCTTGCTGGTTCCTTTGCAATTTCTAACTGTAAATCACTTACTCATAATCAACAAAAAAAAGAAGAAGCAAGAAAATCATGTACTCTATTCTTCCATCCAAGTTCAAAGAAGGCTTTGGTAGTGAAGCTCATAAATACCATGTGCTAGCCTGTGTCGTATATATAACTAGATACTAACTAAAATTGATGCCATATACTAAAGCTAGGGAATTTTTCTCATGGGGCATACACACTTTCAGCCCCATGGTGATCAGAAACATCAATCATTTCGACCAATTCAGTACTTCCTTAATCCTAGAATTAAGGTATCAAACAATGACTTCAATCTTACAAGCAAACAAAAGCTTAACCAGGGCTAGCTAAACAAAACACAGATGGCAATATAACAAAAGGGAAAAGATTTCCATACTCAGAAATCATGCATAGAAACCCTCAATATGAGTACCCTACAACACAAGCTACATGGCACCATTTCTAAAAATCGATATAACCACACTTTTGTGGCTCACATCTCAAATCATTTCTCCCATTCAGGAACACATTGTTTATTTCTTTACTTCATTAGAAAATAAGGTTCTTTTCCAAAAACCAGTAACCATTATCTTTCTAACCTAGGTGACGGAGAATGCCTAAGAAACATATAAGAGAGGGGAAAGAAGAAAGGAGACAATTTTGTACGACAAACCACTAAGGAATTCCAAAGAATCCATGAAATTTCAACAAGGAATTGTCAAGCAAATGTTAGTTACACAGAACAATAAACCAATGAAAGATTCATGCAACAAGGCTCAATAATGAGAGTTACCCAGAAAAGATAAGTTTCGAGTTTTATTATGCAGAAGCACTCATTAAGTGATCCATCAAGGTTTAAAACTAAAAAGCCCTATGTTTCTCTTGTGTCACTTAAAAGCAAAAACGTGACCTTTTCATTTAAGATGCTAATTCCACATTACTGTTCACTAAATTTGGACAAATTATCTCACTATCACAAAAAATATTTTGTAGGGCTCAATCCTATCGACTTTTTATTCCTCTCTTTTATTAGTTCCAAACCTAAAGACATTTTGGTAAGGCACTAAGGTCTGAAATTGGAAGATCACATCGCTCAGAATCACTGTCTGAGTTGAACATAGTTTACAAATTGCAGAATTTAACCAAAGTCACATTCTTTTTAGCAGCTTGATATTTTAACTCTTAAAGCAAATGATGCAGTCAAGAAAGAACCCAAATATTACAAATACATTAGAAAACATGAAAGAAAATATCATCTCGGGTAAAATATGACGACGATACTTGCAGATGCAAATCGCCCAAAAAACAATTACCCAGCATATAAAGTTGAGAGAATCCAACTCACTTCAAAGTTATTTTTTTTATTTTTAAATAACTCACATCAACATTAGTAGTAAACGAAGAGGAGCCTCCTCTACTTTTGTTCTTTTATTTGTTCATCTGAATCTGAATCACTGGCATTGTACCCTGCATAAGGTTAGACAATCAAAATTGCTGAAAAGCCAACAAAAGAAGGAAAAGAATCGAAATGGACTTAAATTTGATGAAAATGCTCTTATCGCTAACCTGGATGCTTGTCGCTAACCTTCCAAACTGAAGACCGGTTCTTCGAAGCTTTTGTGAGCCATGCCCTACCCTAAGACACCCACAACCCCATATAAGATTAAAGAAACTAATGACAAAAAACAAAAAATCAACAGGCACAAAAATTCCCTCCATCAAAATAAATATTAAAAAGATAAAGATAAAAGAAACCAAGCCATAACCCAAAAAAGGCGCACTTCAACTATCTCCCTACAGCATCACAACACATATTGACAAATCAAATCACCTCCAAATTCGACCCAAATTACAAATTTCATGGAAAATCCAAAATTATGAAAACTAAAAGTTCAAACATGAATTAACAAACCCACGAGATCATAGATAACCAAAGGAACCCAGATCAACAAAAGAGATCGTGATTCAGAAAACCCCAACTCTGCCTTGGATCGCAAAACCCAAAAAGCCACTAAAACCAGGAAAGATTAAATAAAAGAGAAAAATACTGAGACTAAACCAAAACCCAAAGATGTCGACTTTTTGAAAGGACAAACTTTAAAAACACAAAATCCAATAATCTTCAAAAGAAAAGAACAAAACCAAAGAACCTCATTCAAAACTAAGAAGAGCCCAACAAAACCCACAAGAAGAAAAACAATTAATCCACCATATAAAACACAAATAACAAAAAAAAAAAAAAGAGAGAAAGGAAGAACAATCAAACCAAACAAACAGAGAAATATTATATGCACCTTTTGGGCATCACGAGGAATACCATAGCCACTGTAATACATCTGTCCAACAAGGACCTGCATCGAACTATCGCCTGCTCTTGCTTCTTTAAGGGTGTCTTGAAACCATCGTTTAACACAGTCGGCCACGACCTCAGAAAGGGGCAACCTGTTATGGTTTTGTGGACTCTGAGTCATTGGAACTTCTTGAAACGGTTTTGTTTTGGGGAATTTCGATTTGGGTTTTGCTGAGCTGCTGCTTTTGGGGGGCTTCACTTTGGCAACGTTATGGAATCTGGAGACAGAGAGAAGGGAAAGCCTGCCCATAAACAGAGAGCGCTGTAGGGAGAGAAAGGCCTAGAGAGAGAAAGCGAAACTTTGGACATGAAAAGAATCAAGAGAGAGAGAGAAAGCTTTGCTGTTAATTTACTTAAAAAATGAGAGAGAGAGAGAGAGAGAGAATCCGGGAAGAAGTAGAAGCACGAGAGGAAATTGATGGATACGAAAACGAAAGATACTGTTTGAGAGGAAATTGGATACTGACTGGAACAGAGGTAGAGGCCAAATGCCCTAGTCGTCATCTCCAAGGAACTCGATCACCGTCCACTTTTTTCGGAATTCCAAAACGTAAAAATAAATAAATAAAATAAAATTCTCCAAAAGACGCCCACCTCAAAAATTTCAATGAAAGAGGTCGTTTGAAATGATCATCGAAAGAAGTTGTATCAAATTTTGGAAATACTCCATCTTGTAAAGTATTTTTTTGGACCTTTAATTTTTAAGATTTTTAAAGTTTTTATAGATCTACTATATCTACACTTATTTTTTTAACTTTAAATTTTATAATTAAATATAAATATATATTTTAAGGCTGTAACAAAGATTTTTTCTATTAAAATTACATTTCTAAATACTTTTTAAAAGTGGGTTTTACTTTGATTGTTCATAGGCTCGGCTCTACACAAACTGCACCTTATCCAAAACATGTCACTATAGACTTCAGAAAAAAAAATAGTCCACGTAATCAAAACAAGAAGGAAAAAGTTTAATATAAGTACTAAGACTCTAAACAATCATATTAAGGTATACCTCAAAAATTTTATTAAAAAAGGTTGTTTTGATGGCCAAATATCCTTAAATTGATCATCTCCGCCTCCAGATGCATAGGGGTGGCAATGGGTCGGGTCTGGTTGGACCCGGACCTAGACCCGAATGTATTTAGGTCCAGATTTTGGAACCCCCGACCTGTCTGGTCCAACAATTGGACCTATACCCATACCCGTTAGGTCCCGGGTCTTGTTGGGTCCATTGCAACCCTCACCATGAGCTTTTTTTTTTGTTGCCTATGGTGGTAAATAACAGAGAACTGATTTTTAAGGGGTGGGCGATTAGAGATAGAGACATTCGAGATCCAGAGAGAGCTATGTCTCCAAGAAATTGAGAGAGGGACAATTGCATAAAGGGAGGATGACGATAGGGTTTGGTTGTTTGGGGAACCAAGAGAAGACGTGAAGACAAAAAGTATTGAAATGATTTTAGAGTTGGGGCTTTGGCCTTTGGGTAAACTAAAAATTCGGTTCCAAATACCCGTCAGGTACCCGGACCCGAGACTATCTGGGTATCCTTTATTAGACCCAGACACGGGCTGTACCTGCGGTTCCAAAACTTGGACCCATACCTGGATCCATGTCGGGTATACCCAATGGGTATGGGTTAGGTCCAAGTCCATTGCCACCCCTAAAGATGGATGGACATGAGAAAAAAATGGATTTCAAGTTTTGGAAATAGTGCATCTTGTAAAACATTTTTAGACCGTCAATTTTGAAGATTTTCAAGTTTTCATATATGTGCTTGATCTATACTATTTTTAAAACTTAAATTATATAATTAGAGATGAAAATATATCACAAAGATTTCTAGTATCGAAACCACATTTCTCGATACTATTTGAAGGTGCACATTTTTTTTAACAATTTATTTGAAGGTGCGCTTTACTTTGATTATTTACATCCTCGGTCTTATACAAATTGCACCAAAATAACAATGACCAATGACTTTTGTTTTGAAATTTATCTTAACTTCTTGTATTATATGTGGAATTAAAGCAAAAAAAAAAATTAGGAAAAATTACATAAATATCCATTTTAGCTTCCATTATTATCAAAATACCAAATACTTCATGTTATTACTGATATGTCCGTTTTTTGAACTTCATAACAATTTTTTTAAAAAAAGCGAAACTACCTATTTTCGGTTTTTCAAAACCGAAATCCTGCCAATTTCAATTTTTGAAAAACCAATAATTTAAAATTTTTCGATTCTTCAAGAACCGAAAATTTTTTCTCTCCCTTGTGGGTCCTCTGCATATTCTCTCTTTACCTCTCTCTCTCTACATTACACGGATAAAAATGGTTTTTTTTTTAACTCTCTCTCCCTTAACCCTGCATCTTTTTTTGGGTAAGTTTCAGCTAGCGTCTTGAGAGGAATTTGGCCTGGTTTGGATATTTGACAAGAGATCTCTTCTTGAAGGTAGGGCGTCATGGGCTGGGTCATCAACAAACTGAAACTTTCCATTTTACGCAATTTTTTGCAGGTTTTCTAGATCTTCCAAGTCTTTGCACTCAGAGCGAGCTAGGACTTACAATTTTAGCAAAAATTTTAGAAAAAATAGGTAAGAGTTTAAAGAGAAAAGACATGGTTAAACGTGGGGGTGAAAGGAAGGGTAGAAAGAGAATGTGTTTTAAAAACAAAAAAAATAAATTTGGTTGTTCAAAACACTGAATTTAAAAACAAAAATCGGTTTTTGAATTTGATTAGTAGAGAGAGAGGTAGAGAGAAAATACATCGAGGACCGAAAAGAGAGAAAAAAAATTCGGTTCTAGAATAATCGAAATTTTAAAATTTTCGATTTTTCAAAAACTAAAATTTTCCTGATTTCGGTTTTCGAAAAACCAAAAATTGACCTGATTTCGATTTTTCAAAAACCGAAATGAGTAGTTTCATCTTTTTTCAAAAAATTTGTTATGAAATCTATAAAATGGACTTATCAATAACAACTCAAAGTATTCGGTATTCTGGTAATAACAAAAACTAAAATGGGTATTTACATAACTTTCTCAAAAATTTATGTAAGGGTATTTTTTATGACACAATGATAACGTGATATTTTGAGACATTATCTATAATCTTGATTTTAGAAAAGATAGAAAGGGATTGTGATGCATTTGATTGAGAAAAACATATTCTCTAAAATCTAAAGTATTGTTAATTACCCAAAGGGAAAGTATATAATCAGACCATTTACCTTTGGTATAAGGTGGTCACAATTAATTTTGGCCCTTGGATGTGAAATTGGATGGCGGCCTTTATTTCATTGACTAAGCTCAAAGCTAAAAATAAAAATTTCTCGAACTTTGTGATAAACCCAAGTTATGAGATGATTCAAATAATATTTTTCAATATACACTATTTTTGGGACTCAATTTTTTCTTTTTTAAATATATCTCAATGTCCAAATGATCAATTAGAGGATTATGAGCTTTTTTTCCGTGCACCTTCATTCTATAGTTTAAGGTTCATGCTTATATAAACTTTCCAAAGAAAAATGTTGCAGTGTAGTCTTGTAGGATCATATTATTCAGTCCCTGATGTAAAATATCTATTCGGATAAAAAATTCAAACCCTCTTAATAAATAATAAGTGTGTCATTATTCTAAACTTGATATCAAAATAGATAAGAAATATATTTTACCGAAGCGAACAAGCATACAATATAAAGCTGCAGGAGCACCTTGTGGATAAAAAAAAGAAACCTTACATTTGCCTATATGTAATGAGATTAGTCGTCTCATCCAATATTTGAAAAAAAATCCGATGTTTGAAAAAAATAGACAGGTGACCGGGATTGCCCATCAAGAATCGATCCGATCGTGATTTTGAGACTTAAACATTCAAAGAATCATTAGAAATTCTTATAAATATGGGTGCGGTCCATATTTCTTATTATTTTACAAAAATATATGAATATTGAGAGTTTATTTGTTTGTTTGGATGCAGTTGACAATTACATTTATCATAGAAAAAAAGAGCATATAGTCATATTATAACATGAAAAAAAAATTCTTTAAAAATTTGCTTTTTCGTGAAAAGCAATTTTCAAAAAATTCTCCAAAATATTGGATTATTATCCCTAATTCTTCCTAAGAGCATATGCATCAAAATTCAATAATAATGGATAATATTGTTCCTAAGAGCATATACATCAAAATATTGGATAATATTGGATTATTATCCCTAATTCTTCCTAAGAGCATATGCATCAAATTTTGATTTTCGTATTATAACATGAAAAAGAACTTTTTCCTTTTTTTTAAAATGCCATTTTTCCTTAAAACTTAAAAAATTCAGCCATAAAAATCAAAATAATTGTAAAAAATAAAAATAACTCTGATTATTGACACTAATCCTTCTAGATGTCATATTCATCGAAATTCCCCAGCAAATTTCCATATAATAACATTAAAAAAAGCTTTTCAAATGCTAATTTTTCTTGAAAAGTAAAAAATCGAGCCATAGAGTTTAAAATAATTATAAATATGGAAAAATCTTATTACTAACACTAATCCTTCCTAAGAGCACATGCATAAAAAAGCCCTAATAAAATTAAGCAACTCACTAACAAAATTTCCATAAATGTATCAAACCCTAAACCAAGCTTCTTTTGAGCGAAATCTATAAAATAATCAGTATAGATTAAACAAATTGGAGAAATATAATTGTAGAGACATTGAATAGGATACATTTGAACCAAATTCCACCAAATTTGGTTAAAAAATGACTAAGAAATCCGTGTTTAGGCAGATTTCAGAACCCTAACCATAATGAAATTTCACGCAATAAAACTCAAGAAAAGATATAATTTTATAAATATATTTACTTATTATATATCCAATCTAAATGCTTAGAAATCCATAGCCCTCTTCAATTTTTAATGGATTTCAAGATTCCCGAAGCTGTGAGAACCAAATAACTTCCGGGCCAAATCACCATAAATCCATTGTTTAATCTCATAAATCGAAACACGATTTAAAGGGTTCAATTACCTACAATTAGAACTAAATTTTAGAGAAAAGGGTTCTAATTGAAGCTGAAAATAAAAAAATGGTGGATTTTTCAAAACAATAAAAAAAGTTTTATTTTATTTTATGGAAAATCAAAGGAAGAATTTATAGAATTTTTTCATATACCTAGGTCTTCTTATAGCCCCATTTCAATTATTGAATTTCATTATCAAACTGAAAAAGCACAAAATAAAAAATGAAAAAGAGGCTGCAACTCTCTATTATTGGTGCTCAATAAGGGAATTGAGGCTGCAACTCTCTATTATTGGTGCCCAATAAGGGAATTGCTATGCCCCTATAGAGAAGTGGCGATTCTTTGGTAGGAGTAGGCAACCATTTTCTAGAACCGGCTAATGTTTTATGGGTCTTGTTAGGCTGCATCACTTGTAGTGTATATCCTTAAAGTCTTCAACATTTTTAGATA